GTTTTCCATTTGGAACGTGTAGGCATCGCTTCAGAGATGCAATTAACGTTTTAAACACTTTTTTAGCTTCGTCTTGATGAGTCCGCTTGATAATAGCGTGCATCCTGGGGGTAAGACGAGGGCCAACATGGAAGTTATTTGTTGTTGTCCGGGAACAAAATGTTCTTGGACAGAACTTTTCAATTAGTAATAAACTTCAGACACATTTTGCGTTACTCTCTCAGCCGTGGAGAGAACTTTTTGTGGTTAATTTGAACGCACCCCTCAAAAGTATTTGAAGTCTAACTCCCAAAGGCCGAGTGGAATAACTGACTGGCTGCAGCTAATATTTTACTAACATATGCCCTATGGCTGGTTGTGTCCTGTTACAGCAGGATGTCCTGAGTGACGTTAAGTCTGCCTGATCTTCCCAGAGTCAATCCCCTTGACGGACCCAGACCGGCCCTCGACACCCGGTCAATGATTAGCACTGAAATAAGTCTGGGAGACAAACTGCACACAAAAACAAGCTTCGGACATTTCCAGTCACGGAGATGGAGGCTTTTTTTTTTTTTAAATTGTCTTTAAACTCAAAACATGTGTTTTATGGTCAAGGCCTCCAATGGTTAAGGTATGGTGTGTAGAGGGCTGCAGCTCTAAGAACATGCGGCAGCAGATTATGTAACGATCAGACTTAACAAAGACTTGGTTTCCTTCTGTTTGCAATTAGTGTACATGTAGCATGTCTGTAGCAGCAGGCAGTGTCAGGTAAAAACAGTCATCAAGAGTCTCTGCTCAATGGGGCTGCTAGCCAGTTAGCTAACAAAGCAGAGATGTAAAGATCATCTTTTCAAGCCACTGTTCAAGATAACCACTTGAGGCGTAATAGTAACCTGCAAGTCAACTTTATCAGATCTTCTACTTCTTCATGATGCAACTGATCAAGAACAGCACTTCCTGCCAACTGCCAAATCACCAATAAACTGACTGGAAGATTTGTTTCACAAATGATTTACTTTGAACTTGATAATAGATAAAAAGTATTTTTAGTATGCCTCTTAATCTTTGATATATTGACTATTATCTCAATAAGATGCAACTTAGCATCATAAAACTTAAGTGTACCTTTGATTTAGCATGTGGGAGATCAGTAGTATATGGTGTGTGTGTGTGTGTGTGTGTGTGTGTGTGTGTGTGTGTGTGTGTGTGTGTGTGTGTGTGTAAGAGCTACACAAATAGGACACACTGATGACGCACTCATTTGAAAACCACAGGTTAGTTTTAGGAGACAAATAGTGAGGCAGCAGTCGAGCCTGTGGTCGATGAACTTGTACAAGTCTGTTCACTTAAAAGGAGGACAGCTTCAAAACAGAGATCATAGCCAATCGCTTAAAAACATTAAATATGCAATCATTTAGTCCAAGTTAGCATATTGCTTATAGCTCTCTGAAGGAGAAATTCTAAAGACTCTTTTCTAACTAAGGAAGGGTCACAAAAACTCAAATTACAATGTCAGAAAAACAAGTCAACTGGGCAACAACCTGGTCAAGGTTGCCTGATAAGTTTTGCAAACAAGGACATGCCTTGCTTCAGATTATCAGATCCAATTTAATGTAAATACCCTGTCCCTTCTCTGCATTCAATAATATATTCAAGAATGTGTTTGAGAAAGAAAAAAGACAGGCAGTGGAAGTGAGATAGTTTACAGTAAGCATGAGTACATTATGTATAGAGTGAGCAAGGGAGGCAGAGCAGGATGGGGAAGCAGTCACATGTTAGCAAGAGAGGGCGGAGGAGGAGGGGGGAGGGTCTGCTGTCACTCCTCTACGTCACCGGTAACGCCTCCCTCTCTCTATCTCTCCCTCCCTCCCTTCCACTACAACTCACATGACTGCAGTAGCCCTGTTCTGTAACCCCAGTCACGAGGATAGAGTAGTATTACAATAACCAGCCGGCAGGGGCGGGCAGCATAGGCAGAGAGAGCGAGAGAGAGAGAGAGAGAGAGAGAGAGAGAGAGAGAGAGAGAGAGAAATAGAGAAATAGAGAGAGAGAGAGCAAACCACCGGGCAGTCCTAATAACCCTGAGTAAATATTAACATATTAATGCTGGGCTTGTAGAATAGATAACCTTATCAGATTACACAAGAAGAAAGAAGTTAAGATGTGCTAATGTGCAATTTAATTTTTCTTCCCCCCTTCTTTTTACTCAAGCTGTTTCTCTGTGTGTGTGTCTCAAGGACTTTGCAGCAATACAGCACTGTATGTCCAAGAAAAAGGAAAGCTTTTGCAGCAAAGCTAACAGAATGCATGCCACTATAGGAATTCATCCATGTTTTACTATTGTTTACCTTATTGGAGCTTTGTTATAATCATTGTCTTGCTTACTGTCTGACAGTAGCCCTATTCTTTTTTCTTTTTTTTTCTCAAGCTATATAATGTTTACACAGAGTTTTACACTCCTATTAAAGGTTTTTATGGCTGATTCATTTCATCACATGTTAATATTTTATTTAACTGCTGCACAAGAAGAATTCAACATCTCATTAAGAAAAAAAACCTAACATTTTTGGAATCTTTTTCATGTCAATACAATTTGAAATATGCATGAAATAGAAAACTAAAATGTGATTTTTTTTTTTTTTTGACTGACAGGATTCCAAATATTATGATTAGTTGAAGAGCAACTTTTGCAAAAATCTGTCTTTTTTTTACACGGACAAAATATGAAAAAGAACATCCATGCAGGGGCAAAAGAGAGGATGACTTGATTCATGTGCAATATTTCAGTGTGATATGGTCATCAGGCAAATGGTTTTTGGCAATAAGAAGCCATCTTTAATAAGGAGGGGCTGTAAGTCTGCACCAAATTATATTTCTTACATGCAATAAGAAGGTATGATGATGATGATGTGACATTTGAATGGGGCCTGTCCTACCTCAATGTGTCGTTTACACATTGAGAACCAAATACGAAGGTCTGTGATCATAGGACATGATGCAAAATGTCAATATCCGTGTTTTGGTGCATTCTGTGGCACGTGGGGTGCTATTTTTCTCATAACCTCCAAGAAACATCCATCTGTGTGTGTACTGTAGATGTGGTGTGTGGAAGCACAAGTCACTACTGCACGTTATAAATAGCCCACAGTCTCCGTGGATCCCACCACACACTGAATTAACCTGCTTAAGCTGCCAATCAGCTGTGGCAGATGCCCCCAACCCTCCACACTTACAAAACACACACACTTACAAAACGCACACACACACCTACCCGCTTTCGTCACACCCTCAGATGACCGTGCATTCAAAGCACAAACCATCACCACGCTGCAATCTTACGTCACGCTGTGATGCAGTAAAGAGAAGGGGGGGGGGGGGATCATGATGTGGATTTACGTGCACGATAATGACCTATGCGTATTTAGGAAGCCAGGAGGGCGATGAAGATTAGACCTGATAGCTTCCCGACCTGTCGTGTGGAAATTCACCAAACCCGCATTGGGAATTTGCCAAATTACTATAACGTTACATGTAAACAACAAAAATGCATGTCACTTAACACAGCATAGGAGCTCATGCTGCTAAATATTATCCCATCAAAATTCGGCCTTCATTTAGTGTGCAAAACATCACTTTATTCTGATAAAAACTCAAACTTCTATAATTGGTAACACCACTCGCTACCGCCCTCCGCGGTGTACTTGGAAAGGAGATTATTCTGGGATTAGCAGAAGATCCAGTTGTAAAAGTTCACATATTTCTTTAATAAGTGATGCATGGTGTTTTGACTGAGTGCCGATGTGAATTAAAGGTGCCAGTCTTCCATGTCTAGCATTTGCAATGTTGTAGGTGTTGTGCATCATGCCAATAATTAAGAAATCCCAGGATTGCAGAGATTTCCTTAAATAGTTTGGCGGCTTGAAGCTTCCATGGGATTCTGTGCAAAAATACTTCCCTGCAACACCATGGGTTACTGAAAAACAGCACTACATATCTGCTTCAGACACACAGCCAATGTATCTATTGTGTCTCACTCTGCCAAAGCATACAGTCAGGCGAACCACTCAAAGGTTTTGTAATCGTTGACGAACGAGCGATTACGCAAACGGTTACGAAAACGTGTAAAACGCACCAACTTTCTCAGTTGGATGTTGCACAGAGGCTTTATTCAACCTCATTGCTTCCATGAATATAAAATGATGAACATCCAGTTCTGCAGAAATAACTGGAATAATCGTTGGGAGTTGCTCAACTTAGAAGCGCACAGCCTTCCTGATACCCAGCAGAACGATCCCCGGTGAAGCTCATGGTGCCGGGGCAAGCAGCTTAAAGAAGAGTGGATAAAATTCACTACACGGCGTTGATGTTTTGCACTGCTTCCACAACTTTATTAAACATTCGCTTGAAATATTCGAGGAATGTAAATAAGACATAAATCCAACCAGCCGGCGCAGTCGCGAATAAAAGACAGAATCTTGACTTTTCTCTGCACAAAATTAAAACCAAGCAGTCCTGAAACCGGTGGATTAGTATCATTATGTATAAATATCATAATAGTCCTCCGGCTAAGTCCATGCGTTCAGAGGCGCACCACGTGTCCAAGTCTCCGGCACAGATATTAAAACTTCCCTCAAGAATGCGTCAAAAGTTTCCAAAGCGCCCCCCTGCATACCAAATAATCCTCCCCGAGCAGCAACATACCGGCTGCTCGCCTCTTCCAGCACCGACACAGAAATATACATTCGTTTTAATCCGGCATATTCCTCATTGAGCATGGCTGATGACATTTCCTCCAAAAAAAAAAAAACACGTGAAAGCCAGACGTCAAGACATTCACACACATACACACGCACTCAGACCGAGGCACCGGCTCGCTCTGAACCAGGGAGATGCTGCTGACAAGCCGGGTACAAGCCTCGCATCAAGCGGGCATAGCGCGCGCCACGACCGGCGACGTGCAAAACCGCGCCCCGGTGTGGAAAGCCCAAAGAGCGGTGCGTCCAGAGAGGCCAAGGTCTTACCTGGCTGCCGGAATTTTCTGTCAGGTAATTGAAGACAAAGGACGAGAGTTCCTCATCTAATAGTGGAGCGCAGTCCGCCATCTTCTAGTGAATGAAGAGCCGTGGAGTCAGAGAGCGGAGTATAGAAGGAGGAGGAGGAGCAGTGGGGGAATGCTGCCTGCAGGGGGCGCATCTGTTTACACACAGAAACAAACCAAGACATTAAAGACATGCGGTTCTTCAAAGTGGGGTCTGGGGACCTCCAGGGGTCAAAACAGTTGCTCCTGGGGGACCCTCAATCAAACTAAGATTAATTTATTTCATTGCAATCCAATTACAGAAACTGTCACTGGAGATTTCACAATAATGTGTCTGGCAGTTAATTGTGTGGTCCTATTTGGGCACATAAAGCTCTACAGCTCTTATGATGGAGAATGACACATTGTATCCCTCAATCAGCAAAGGCACAGATCTTGTTCTCAAGTTCTCCATGTTTTTTTCCTTCTAATTAACTTTAGTCATCATCACAAGCACAGAAGCTGTCATCATTCAGGGTGCACTTATTTGAAAAAACAAAATCCATGTTTTACCACTCTGCTTTTGTTTCTGAGAAGCAGACATGAGTGTTGGAAACTCTCTGCTGCTGTTGCTGGGCAACTACAAAACTGTCAGTCATTTAGACGTTGACAGCAGCTGATGCCACTGTAACTACAGATTCTCTTTACAAATTATAATCTCAACACTTGTGCACTAAATCTACAGTATGCATTTGTTTATTCACTTATATGTTTATCTATTCATTCATGCATTTTATTTTTATTTTCTCATGTCTTCCTTCAGTTTATTGTTTCAATGTAGGTCGTCTTCATCCCAAGCATCAACCTCCAGTATTTAAAAATAAAGCCGATGCTGAATTGCAAAGACATGCAATTCCTCAAGTGTCCACTAGACACTGGCTTCAAATTATCCCCATTTGGTGCCATGCAAATGTTTACAGCCTGGTACAAAAATGGTTTTGGTCTCTATAGCTCATTGCTCTATCCCTAAAAACATAACAAGGAGTGAACATTTATAAATTCATCGTTTTGTTTTTATGAATCTACTGTAAGAGTTTTGCATAATTAGGGGAAAGGCTGATTTGACTGATAGGAGGATGCATTGTAGTTGTTTTCCAAGAGGTTTAATGCCCACCTTCGTTCAACCTCTTTGCCTGACTGATTGACGATTGATGTAGAGTCAGCATTTCCAATATGGCAACCGCCATCATTGGACAGCATAACTCCTCTTCAGAAACCATGGGGGACATCACTGTCCTCCTGATTCATTGCCTGTACAGTCGACCAAGATGCTTTTCTAAAATCTATAAATTAAAGGGCAGATTTAAAAAATATATAATTTTTTAAACTAAACTTAATTCAAACTCACCATGAAGCTTCAGCAGCTGCAATGTGTTGCCACTGCTTTTTTTGGATTTGTTTGCTGCTGGCTGTTTGTCGTTGTCATGAAAACACTTCATATTATATATATTATTATATATTATATTATATATATATATATATATATCATATTTGCACGTGTGCTATACAAGAGGGCCAATGATTGGGCACGATCATGCATGTGAGTCATGCAGTGTATAAGAATGCATATGATTCATGAGTAAGCAGTTTTGTGTCAACAACAAAATATTGATAGGTCAGGACAACACAAATCTGAAAGTAGGATGTAGATGTATCTGACTAGTGTTTGGTGTTTCATTCATTCGACATATTTCCAATCGTTTTTCAAATGAATCCAAATGTTAAGGACATAATATTACATGTTCACCAAAACATTGACATGATTGCATCCTAACTGTAAGTGGTAAGAAAAGTGACAAAGTCCAAAGGGGGGAAATCAAGCATTGAGACACACACCCTGAAAATAGTTATTGTAATGTTATCACTGCATTGCAGCACGGCTCCCTGGCTGTGTGTATGTCAGTTGTGTGTGTGTGTGTGTGTGTGTGTGTGTGTGTGTGTGTGTGCGTGTGCACGCATGGCTGTGTGTGTTGGTCAGAAAAGGTTAACAGTCTGTGGCAGGTGATGGTCATAACAGCTCTGGCTGTCTTTCAAAAGCCTGTCTGACAGCACTGACCTTAATACAGTGTGTGTGTGTGTGAGTGTGTGTGTGTGTGTGTGTGTGTGTGTGTGTGTGTGTGTGTGTGTGTGTGTGTGTGTGTTGTGTGTGTGTTTGTGAGTGTGCATGTGTGTATTTGCATTCCTATCTTCAGGAGGACAATCACAGTGAAAGACCTACGGACCATTTTTAAAAAGTGTTTAACATTTGTATGTGGTCATTTTTCTTCGTCTCCTTCTGGGGTCTCCTTCCTATAATTCTGAAAATACTTCCTCTCTAACTGTAACAGTTACAGGAAGCACCAACACAATCTGATCCAACAGGTTTGAAAGGAATCCCCCAGGGTAGGCAAATTTGTTTGGAGAAGAAAAAAGGGTGACTGGTGAAATAATTTCCCTAACTGTCTGTTTAAAACGTCTAACAGTCTACAGAGGAGTTTCTGGTTTAACTTGAAAAAGTACTCAAACATTTTCTTGTGCAAAGAAAGACTATTAGCAACAATTTGGGACCATTTATTTTCAGATAAAGTGGTTTAGATAATTTGGCTGAAATGTTGACTTGTTTACATCAACGTGTGTCTCATGGTCTGTCATAATTGTGATTTGTTTCTGTACTCCAATCTGAGGAAAATCTTGTCATTATCGATAGGACTTTGAGTCAAACTTTGAAAATAAGACTTTGATTGAAATAAAGTGTTGTAAATGTGCAGGTCAGGCATGTTTATTCTGTGATTAATGTGACATTTTAGAAATGATTCATCTATAATCTCTATCTATTCTCTTCAGTATATGGTGTGAATAACGGCTTCAGTTGATTTTCATATTCTCGTGTCTCTGTGCAGCATGATTAGGCAGAAAAGTCTGTTGTTATTTCTGCATTAGCAGTATTATTTGATGCAGTTGGTGCCCTGAAAGAACTGCAGGCTAGAGGCTATGAAGCTACATCGCAAACCTTGAAAATTGCATCCCAAAATATGAGTCGAATAGATGTTCATCTGTATTTAATCAAGCCGGAATAGAGCTAAAGAAGTGCAGTATAGAGTGAGGAAGAGTTGCTGCTTGCATGCAATGCATCCTGGTACATGTAGGCACTCATGGCATGACTCTGCAGGCAGGGAAGCTTGGCTTTCTATACTTGGTCATTACAGCACCTTGGAATAAAATGCTGTGTATGCATGTTGTGTTTTAATGTAATGCTGTTGTGTGTGTCTTCTGTATGTGTGTCATTTAATCGATACAGAAATGTAGACCCTCCTCTTTCTCTTCAACAGGTAATACAGATATCAATTGTCAGGAATCAGCAGCTTCAGTTCTAAAACACATTTGCTGTGGATCTCTACTTGTGACGGCTTGTTTTAATGTTGCAATCAAAAGTTACATGGAATAGATGATCATTAAATTAAGCAACATGTGCAGTCAAGTCAGCTGAAGAGAAAAATGTCATAAACCCCACCCTGTTCTATATGCAAAACAGGAAATGAAATCCCTGCCGGAACTTTTAAACGCTGTTGCAAAATAGCCATTGGGTTTGTACTGGATTTATGGCTGGATTAAGTTTCTCAGTGGTTCATCACTACAGTACATGAAGAAGTGAGGACACAAATGCCATTCCATGTCCCGATATCCCCTGTTGAATGCTTTGACTGCAGAATATTGTTGGGTCAACACTTCAAGGGGCATTAAAATAGTTTTTTTTATTTCAATTTTGCACTGACTTCCTCATGATCCTGTATAGAAGTACAGTATCTGTAGAAGCATGACTGAAATGTTGTCTTGGTGTTCTGGTTTTTGTTTGTTGTCTGAGTGGTGTCGTCCTTTCAGATGTCTTCTTTCAAGTTTTAACTTTATGCAGGAAAATGTAAACGTAATAATCAAAAGTTGCAGAACCCAGTACGCCGTAAAAGTTTTCCGGTACCTTTTTTTCAAAAGCAACTCCAATCTTTAACCTAGTTTAGGTTTTAGTTTTTTTGAGCAGTTTAAAAAAAGAGCTTATTTGAAGCCTCCACCTAAAAAAATATCGAAATTAGGGATGTTCCCAGACAGTTAATTCCCCATTCATTTAAATGGAAAATGAAGTTCTGTTTAACCAACTAGTCTAAAGATAAGAAAAAAAACTCAGAAAACAGTCAAAATTGAGCAGAATTTGAAAACTGACCATCGTGCCTCCCAGAGTAATATATTGTCGTCATATGATGGCAAATGGGCTCTGACGTCGGCCGTCTGCTTAAGGTTGCAATAAAATGCGCTGCCATTTTTTGTTTAAACCTTTTATACACAAACATGAAGCAGAATAACAAAATTATATTCCAGAAACTGAAACTGAAATTGTTACATGTTGCACTTGTCATAAACACCGGTAAATGATAACACAGTCACTACAATTCATCAACCTGCTATGTTTTCATGATGCCTGGTCGGGGTCTTCTTCTTCCACAGTAGAAGACGCCAACATTACTGAAATGCCAACAAAGTGTCCCAGCTGATGTCCTCTTTCTTATGTTACCACGTTTTATATTTACATTTCAGGCATTCAGCCAGCCCTCTGATGACTGCCAGACAGGGAGGTCAAAAGCAGAATAACCTTCAACTTTAAATCATTAGTATCACAGGACAGAATTATTCTTTAAGGTAAAAGTCAAAGGTGAGACAAGTTTATTGTTGAAATTCGGAAAATATCCCAGAGGACCATTTTGGTGCGTTACAGAAACATGTTGCAGGGAGACTTCAGAGAGGTTTCTGAGTGTTAAACAACAAGAGGAGAAGATCATTTTTTATCATATTACACTTCAAACAAAGTTTTCTTTTAGAAATACAAACTCCTTGGGGGAAACATCCCAGGACCACAGACAACTTTGTGCTCTTTTATATTTAGTTTTCTGAGAGTAAAAACAATAAAAATGGGAAAGGGAAATAAAAACAAAAAATGCCCGAGAGACACAGAAATGCCGCGGGGGCTTACAAAACAAATGTCTCAACGCAAAAAAGAAA